TTTTCTCTGTTTCAATTATAATACAGGTGTTTTCGAATGAGTACAAAAAAATAAAAAGCGTATTTTATAACTAATAGTTACTTATGTATTTATATATACATATACATACATACATATACGTCATATGTATAACTATAATTATGTATGTATGTACGTACATAAATTTGTATTTGAAAGCAACAAAACTACATTTTCTAAGCTACTTTTAGTATTTTATGATCCTTTTAGTAAAAACTTTTTTTAATGACATTAAAAATATTTGTATATTTGAACATTAAATTTTATTAGAATTTCTAACTTAAACTGAAGCTATTGCTCTCAATACTCTGCAATGCCAAAATTTAGTGTTAATGTAAAATAAAGAAAGTCAATGATTGATTACTCATAATCAAATCGGTTACGGAATCATGCAGGAATTATCTCTTTNACTACTGTATAAATAATTATTTTTTTTACATATTGATGTCTAAATAATTAATACTCTTTTTATTAATTTCTTCTACATCATTCTTAAAATCTCACTATCGATATTAAACTAAATATATTCTATAGACTTCAAACTTTAAATTATTTGTTAAACTTTTATGTTCTAATGCTTTTATGTTAATTTTTAATTTTATTTCAAAACCGTTTATGAAGTTTGCTTCCGATTCATAGTTTTTAAGTTTTATACACATCTTTTTAGCAGTGACATATATATGTAAGATCCTTACAATGAAATCATATGTTTACAACAAACGTTATTTATACGCAAAATTAATGATTCAATTCTATTTCTTTCAAAGCTCTGGAACAAGAAGAAGTATTTAAATTTTTTTATCTTATTTACTGAGATTCTATAGTAATTATGAAAAGCCTAATTTTTTTTAAAAACGGAGTTCTGCCAAGGTATTTACTAAATTCACGTATCAAATAAATATATAATTTTCTTTTTATTCACTCATATCTATATTAAATACAGCATGAAAGTTGTGTTAATTAAAATATAAAATTGACGTAAAACAGTTTTTCGCTAACATTATAAGTTAAGATTTTGATATTCAATTAAGTAAGATTACATAAGTTTGACAGACTTTAAATTACTTTGGAGCTCACTCAAATGACTCAGTTTTTTTGAATTACCACTAGATAATTTTTCTACACAACTAGAAGACACAAAAAATGTGATCTAATTCTTTAGCTAGTATATATTTTCGCTGCAGCAACAGCATCTTGAATTGGAACTTGTAAATCTGAGTATACTACCAAGCTATCGATTGAGTGAGCTTTTAAGTAATTTCAGGCATGGCAAGTTATGTGACACGTCTTACATAATCTAATATCAGATTCCTGAACTATAACGTTAGCTAAAAAACGCTTCGAATTAATTACTCATTTTATTTGATAAAACTTTTATGCTTTATTCAATATGAACATTTGTAAATCAGAAGAACAGCATTAATGTAATATGAGGACTTATAATAAATACCTTTGTTGAACTCAGTATTTTCTTGAAAGTGAGTTTTTTCATAATTAGTAAGTATAGAATCTCGGTGAATAAAATAAAAAAACGTGAAAACTTTTGTTGATCTCATAACTTTGAAAGAAATTAAATTGGTTAAGTAACTTGTGTATGAATAATGTTTATTTTAAAATCATGATTTTATTGTAAGTGTATTATGCATGTGTAAGCAGATAAATTACAATTTAAAAACAACAAAAGTACATGTATCGTTATTAACCTTCTTTCAGAAATTTATAATCCTTTCATTAAAAAAATTTTATTATGACATTAAGCTGTACACGGTATCAGTGCTAAAAAATAACCTTAAACTTGCATAAGCTTTACTTTTTTTGAAATAGGTTTTTTTGATGAATCCATAGTGCAAACTATTTAATTGTTAAAATAATAAAAAATGAAATAGAAAAATGTTTAAAATTTATTTTTAAGTTTTATTAATGAATTATAGGCTTAAGCCATATATTAAATTTTGTAAACTAGTTTCAACGTTTTATATTTCAGAAGAAGTCTCATCATCAAAGAAAATTTTTAAGTTTTCATTGAGAAAATTGATTTGTGTATGCGATTATGTATCATATTTTTTAGAAGAAATTTGATGCAGTAAAATTTGTTAGTTTTCATCATGCGACCTAAATTACATTTTATTCCTAATGCCGTACTTTTTAGATGTACTGTCATAGAAGAAAATTTTATTTTTTCATTGCGCAGTGACATTTTTATGTTAGGTAGAATTTCATTATACATTATAAAAAGTGTCATGCAAGAAAATGCATACGTTTTTATTGTGCTAAAAAGGTATGTTAGGCCAATGTCATTCCTTCAGGAGAGGTGACATAAGTTTGAGAAGATGTGTCATAGGTTTTAGGGAAAATGTGAAAAACTAGACTTTATGGCATGAATAAGCACTTTTAAAAATGAAGCCCAATATCAGCAACCCAACGATAAACTGCTTTGTTGTCATATTGATTTTTGAAATAGGAAAACTTTCATCATAAAATATTCTTTAAATAATTCGTATTAAATTTAAAATAAGTTATTATGTGTTTATCAATATTCTTCCAATCTTTTCAATATTTACTCGATTCTAGGAACAAGCTTGCTACTTTGTATTTATTTGTTTAACAATGCAGAAAATTTACTTACTTTTGAAGCAATTAAATAATTTCTTTTTAAAAAGAAGTAAAGTATTGTTTTTCAACTAAATTAAGTGAGTATCAGTAAATGAATACTATTGTTTCCACTGAAAATTTAGAAGAAACTATTCTTGCATGAATTATTTTTTAAACAAGTCATATTATACAGTAAATCAGTAATATCAACTAATGTTACTTGATAATCTAGGATATATTTACTTTGTTATATAAAAAAAGACATACAATTTTCATTATATTTTAAAACAAGTATTGCCCCAACAATACATTCTCGCCGTAAGTAAAAGCTTGAGCCGTAGTTCAGGCGCCAGGGTAGTCCTCGCAGCCTTTTGAGGTGTACGGCTCTTCCAAGGTATTTTTATGCAGTTTAATCTCCTGAATTAGAATTTCAAGGGTGAAACCTCAAAAAAGTATGCAAAAAAAGTTTTTAAAAAATGCCTTAGCGTGTCGTAAACATATACTCTAATACGTGTGTGCGAACTGAAACGCTTAAAATGTTAACTGCAAAAAAGAATGTTGTTTCTTAATTTATTGGAATTTTTTTTTAGATTGTAGAGAAAAGTTAAAAGTTAATGGTGACGTGAGGTGCCTTGTGAAAAATTTGTATTATTATACTTTGCCGAGGCTCTAAGAAATTGGAAAAAACTCATATTTCAGAACTTTAAGGATTTTGTACTTAAAAACTGTAGGGTTAAGGTAAGTACATTCTGATAGTTTTTTTTGTTCAAAATACGCCAAAAAATAAGAAAAAAAAGTTTTTGATAAGAAAAAAACGTAGTTTTAAAAATTGTTTATAAAAACTGTTAATAACTGTTTTTGTGTATTTTTTTGAGGTTTCATTCTCGAAGTTTTAATTCAGGAGATAAAACTGAGTTAGGAAAACATTAGGGGAGCCATAGACCTTAAAAGGCCATGGGTACTCCCCTGGTGATGGCACCCAGATTAAAAAGCAATCGCTAAAGGATAGTTATTTTCGTACCACAAATACGTTAAAAACAAAAAATGGTGATTACAGGCCAAAATAAATTTTTCCATACTTAACCTAATGTGAGAATTCCACAAGTTTTCAGTATACTAGTCCAACTTTAAGTCTGCTGTAAAGTTGCCTGCTTTAGACTACGTTGCTTTTTGCATACAACTAACTCAAATTTTAGAGTAACCTTAAGCAAGATTCTCATAGATGTAGCATAACGGAAGTCTTTCTAAAGTCTTATGTAAAACTAGAATGTAACTGCTCAGGATAAACGAAAAGATTCTAATTCTACAAAAATGTTCTTAACGTTGAGAGCGTTAAATAAAAATTTTATAAATCTTTATATGATCATGGTAACTACAGTAAATATCGTTATATAAAAATTACATAATTACATTATAATGATAAGACATTATTCCAAATGTTTATGGCTCCAATTTTATAAACGAAATTATCTATTAAAGTCATAAGTCAATATTCATAATTATGGCAACTGAGAATAATAAAAGATCATGAAAAGTGTAAGTACTTTTTAAAACTATTACAAGAGAATTAGAGAAATTCATATGATAGAATCCTACTTCTCAAAGTAATTTTAACAAAACACGACATTTTTTAGTCACATTTAAGGCTGTACTCACTTTCATTTACATACATTCTTTGTTCTAAACCATGGTTACCAATACTGAAATAAATTTAACGCAGTATATGGTACAGTGATTCTAGAGAACTTCAAAATGTCAGTTACAATTAACAGAAACTTTTTTTTAAAATAGTAGACTGATGATTGTCAGTCGTCAATCTACTTTTTAATTATACTGTCACTAGATGACATGCTATATTTTTATCTGTGAATTAATTTTGATCAGAAAGTAGGTATAAACTTTCGAGAAAAATGTATTTGAGTTCCTGATTCAGTGAGAGCTACCACAATAAAATTTTAACGGGTACGATGGTAGGCTTATGAATCCATGCATATAAGCTAGGTAGCGCATCTTTAAACGAAGCAAACTATTTTATTTAGAGAAAAGATATGTATGATCTGGGATACTTGAATTTCATGACCTTTAGAAACATACGATTACATAACAAAATGCCTTTACATGTCAAAAATTTTCAAGTAAGCCTTATCGTATGTTATTTATTATTATTCTGTGTAGTCAAATAGTTTATCAAATAGAAACTTTATTTTAATAATTTAGAAAGTAATTGTATTGAGAATGAAACACAAATTTTATTTTATTTTTCGTACATTTTCTGTGTGACTATATAAAACTATTATTTTGAGAAAAATTAACCGATTAATTCATAACTATAAACCATTATAACAATCAATTTTCACACCAATCATAAAAAACGAACCATACACTCTTACCGTTATGAGATGCTGGGTCGAATAGTACGCCGAAAGAGCTCGATAGTTCGACAGTCAACGTAGAGTGGCAAGATGAAAGAGCTCCTCGGTCCTCTTATCCATATTGGTTGGTGCCAAAAATAGCAATAGACGCTCCATACATGGAAATCCGTCTAACTTCAGCATTTGCTATCTTCCTTCCTACATACTACACTAAGCTATCTTAGTAAAGATACCACAAAGTAAGATACGATGTTTAGCCCTTAATATATTGTAAAATAACGGTTGTATAAATTACATAGGCTAGTATTTATTATTTTAGAATATCTGGCAAATTTACTATCGTTAAAAGTTTTACCTCGACATCGTTATTGGAAGAATAATAGATATTGTGATTACCTACACCGAAAAAAATTTTGTCAACTCAAATTAATGCATTTATTTGAATATTTAACTATTTGAATCGAATGAACCGTAACTTAATTCAATAAAATAAGTTTTTGTATAAATTAAATAACTTAATAAGGCACTTGCATTCTTTAGTTCTAAAAATATGTATGAGAAAATAAGAAATATTCTAAAATACAATAAATACATGATTTATCAGCAACCAATAAATGTCTTACACCAATATTGGCAATTATGTAACACATTTGATAAAACTTTACTACTTTAATTAAGATAAATATCAGTCGATTAAAAGTAAAGCATTTATGTAATATTTGGACTGGTAATCAGTATGAGTTTGTCAAACTCCGTATTTTCGTAAAAGTTAGTTTTTTCATAATTAAAATAGATTTTTACTGAATAAATTAAAAAACTTGAATTCTTTTTATTGATCTTATGACTTTGGAAAAATAAAAATTGGTTTAGTAAATTATGTATGAATGATGTTTATTGTAGAATCATGTTTTTATTGTAAGTATGTATGTATGTATGTGTGTATGTATGTATATATGTGTGTATGTATGCATGTATGTATGTATGTATGTATGTATGTATGTATGTATGTATGTGTGTATGTATGCATGTATGTATGTATGTATGTATTGTATGTATGTATGTATGTATGTATGTATGTATGTATGTGTGTATGTATGCATGTATGTATGTATGTATGTATGTATGTATGTATGTATGTATGTATGTATGTATGTATGTATGTATGTATGTACGTACATAAATTTGTATTTGAAAGCAACAAAACTACATTTTCTAAGCTACTTTTAGTATTTTATGATCCTTTTAGTAAAAACTTTTTTTAATGACATTAAAAATATTTGTATATTTGAACATTAAATTTTATTAGAATTTCTAACTTAAACTGAAGCTATTGCTCTCAATACTCTGCAATGCCAAAATTTAGTGTTAATGTAAAATAAAGAAAGTCAATGATTGATTACTCATAATCAAATCGGTTACGGAATCATGCAGGAATTATCTCTTTTTTGAGAAATATTTGTCGTAATTAGGGTGTACATATAATAATCGTGCTGACAATAACCTCAAACTTACATGAGCTTCACTTTTAATGAAAGGCAGTTTTTTTTATAGATTTTGTGACTTTGTATGGGAAACTGTATTAAAAGAAAAAATTTTCATTTCTACAACTAGTATTTGTATTGGACGATTTGAACTCAAAAAGTAATCAATTACTTGATATTAAGATATTAGCCATTTTCACTACTGTGTTTTATAAGGTATTCTCACTTCTAACGTCATCATGGACAAATTTTTAATTAAAAAAATTTTTAATTAATAATCAAAAATCTATGCTGCCATATTGCAAAGCAGGTGTCATCAGATGCTTGTAAAGGGTTTTAAAAAATGTTTTCCGGCTTTACTTTTTGCCCACGACAGCTTTATTTATCGATTTCACTTATTTATAAAGAAATAATGCGGTATATCTAATACCCATTCGATAGCTTGTGAAAAGGAGAAGTTTTTGTAATCAAATCGAGTAACTGGAATATCTCAATAAACTTTATAGTCATGATTAAACTTATTGTGTGAATTCAAAATTTGTCCCCCAGCCCTCGCCATTTTGCATGATGATGTCAGAAGTGAAAATGCTTTATTCGGTTAACAGTCTTTCATTAAGTTATCACAACTATCTTCAAAACATACTGTACATGATATGAAATCTTTTAGGAAAATGAGTCGATTATTCTAACAAAGAAACAGAATTTATCATAAGATACAGAGTATGGAAAAAATGAGTTAGTGACAGCAAAAAATTGTAGTGAAAATAAATTGGCCCACACGAAACTATTGAGGTTGGAAGAGCTTAGCGCTAACAGCTGTTGGAGGTGTACATGGATTTACCAGGTGTATTCAAATCTTCTTACTTAATAGGTAATCTTAACTTTTTACTTTAAGATCTCAATGAAACTTCATACTAGTTTTTGATTAACAGCCATATTGGATCCCCAGCGATGAAGTAATTTCTCGATATATCGTGCTGTAGCTTGATTTTACACTGAAAAGTTGAACGGAACTCGATTTTTTATCAGTCATTTAATCTTTACATATATAATCAAGCTACAGTACAAAACAAAAATATACTTCATCGGTGTAGATCGGGTATACACTTGGAATTGAGAACTGGACCTCAGATATGGCTAAGGACTTCGAGTAAGAAATAAAGATGACCACAACGTTAAAAATAGTCTAACAGATCAGAAAAATACATTTTTACACCTGCCAAAGCTCTTTGTGCAGTTTACGAAGTTAAAGGTGACCTTGCTTTTTTATCTCAAGACTAGATTGAATTTGAGACTAATTTTTGATATGCACCAATCATTGCGGATCTCCAGCGATAAAGTGATTTTTTATCGTCTAGTACTGTGGATTCATTACACACTTCAAGATTAAAGAAGCTTCGCAAAAATCATTCATTGAAAATTATTTGTTTTAAATTATTAAATAATTTTTAAATACATGTTACAATACACGAATACATTTGAGGAAATCCACAAAAAATATGAAAAAAATTTTTTGAGGTACACCTTCGAGATAGAGCTCATTTTACTTATAATGTGATGTGCTATGATGATAAAATTTTGAACACGAGGTTAAATGAGGGTGCTAACCCTTTTTTCGTGATTTATATGCTAATATTATATCTGTATCATCACATATATAGATATAATTTTAACATGTAAAACGCAGAAAAAAGGTGTTACACTCAATAAAACCCGCGTTCAATATTTTTTCCTGATAGTACATGGCACTAAAAGTAAAATGAGCCCTATTGTGAAGGTGTGCCTCAAAAACAATTTTTTAATTAAAATGGGGGACCAAAACGGGATATTTTTTGTGGATTTCCTTATATAAATCTAGTGCACTGCTTATTAGCCTATCATCCTTTCTTATACCATGCATTAAACATAATGAAAAGAAAATTCGGCTGAATCTTTTGAAATATACCATAAAATATCTCAATATGTATGAATTAACAGAAAGACCGAGAGTTTGTGAATAAAAATATGTGGGGTTAAAAGTTATGGATGTTTATTAATATATCCATTAATTTGTGTAACCAGTAAGTGTACAGTTTTTATACTGGCCGTAAAGATTCAGTATCTTAATAAAAGGACATTTACACAATGCTCATTTAAAATAAAATTGCTGATTATAATTGCACATACACGTGCACATATGACAACGGTTATTTTTTGTTTATCTATCTACCGTCCCATTAATAATTTTGCGTTTTATGAATAATTCTTAACATTATGTTTGGGAAAAAAATTGAAACATATACTCAACAAATTTGTAATAATTTTTTGAATATCTTATAGTTTTTTCTAAAGTTTTTACCTACATTTCAAAGAAAAATAACTGAAAAACTGATACTTAAGGTTATTTTAATACATAATTCAATGCATCTGTTTTTATGAGCGGTAATATTTTTTTTCCTGTAGGAAGACCGTAGAAATCGTTTTTTTAGTCGACCTTGCTTCCTTTCCAAAATGTGGCATATTTTTTCGTATTTGGATGTTACGACACATTAGAAAAAAACTGTCAAATAAATATTGGATGTCTGCATCGATCAGCCATACATGCAAAACATTTTTGGTAATTTACTTTATCAAAATAATGACATTAACTAGGCTATGTGTGCATCATATATATACACATGTGCGCACAATGACCTATTCGCTATAAGTAGATAGGCTATGCCAGTTCTGGAACAGCTATTCCAGTTCCGGCGCCGATTTTGGCACAGATAGTCTCTCCCTTCTGGCATTCTTGGAATGGCTGTTCTAGAACCAGCGCCAATTGTAGAAAAAGTAGCCCCCCCCCTACCGCAGACGTTCTTTGCTTGCTCCCCCTCGCTAGGTGTTTTAAAGGTGGCTGGCAATAAGTGGTTTAACAACCAACTGAGGCTTTGTTCCGAATTTAGCCGTTAATGTAGGCATTGGTGATGTCTGTGACTCCGACGGAATCATAGACTTTGTTGCTAAGAAAGTTATTTAGTTTAATAAAATCAAATTATATTCTTTTATGTATATA